GAAGTTAGATTCTGAACGAAGCTACAGCTAGGATACAGCTGCTTGTGCTTTTCAATGGCATTGTCTCCTGGTTTCCAGTTATCCAGCATCAGACCGCAGCAGAAGCATTTGACCTTGTCGTTCACACCGGTGTAGTAAAAACCAGCTCGGGCAAGACTCCTTTCTGAGATGGGAACTCCGGCCGGGAAAGTCGAAAACGTAGATATTCGGTACAGTTCGCACGAAAAGTCGTATTTCAATTCAGACACGCTGGTGCTCTTCACCAAACTGGATGAGACTATGCTGTTTTCTATGTTCATAGTGAAATGAATGAGGAGGGCAAGGGACTAGCCTTTCTCTGGGGAGGTAGTTTTGTGCATGGATTTACAATTGATCAGTTTAGTACTAGGATGAATGCTTAGACCAGAACATCTTTCCTTCTTTCCCTCTTATGATGTTAGGGGTTCAGACTCTACATTCCAGGCTGAGACAATGTGAAGAGACGGTTAGTCTTTGTCTGGCACAACTTTGGTTTGGTTCGGTGCAATCTTTATGCGTGATACCACATAGAGACTTCAGGTGGAAAATAAAACTCTTTGGAGGTGTGAAGAGTGTTTGGGGCCAGGTGGATGTCATTGAGTGTCCGGTATCATTGCCACAGTTGGGTCAGCTTCTCCAAGCCAGAATGCTATGCTGCCATTCCACCGGCCGGAAGGTACAACATCTGATTCACACAGACACAGAAGAAAGCCATGCTCCGTAAGTGTTCTACAGCAAGAAATTGCCGAATTATGCTTACTTTGCTTATGTTTTTAATGATCAAACTCAATAGCCAGAGTAAAAACCTAAGACTGACCTCAAGTGTATAAAGGAGCGCACTGCTGTATTTCATTGTTTCTAAGACACATGTTGGAATGATCTTGTGAGCAAGAGGTATCTTATCATTATTAGCCAGTCATATCTTAATTATCATGACTTTTTACTTCTTGGGGGTACAAAATATAATAAAGTTTCTTATTAACTGATGGATTCAATAAAATAAGCTATATCTAAATTGTTCTCAAAATCTTTCTCAACTTAAGTAACTTCTATTCTCACAATCATCTTAACAGGAAAAACAAAATAATCTAAGATTTGCCTCCAAATCAAAATATTGGCTGACACATTTTAAAACCTGGTGTTAACTATTATCTAGTACTCATATATCTTATACAAGATTTATTAGACAATAATCACATACTTCCTCATAGATAATCAGGAATACTGTTGCTTAGTGATAACAGTAGGTCTTGGCAAATTAAAAGCGTTATTTTAAAAAACACTGCATTTATCACTGTTTTTATATAATTGTTCTTCCTGAATGAGTCCATTCACTTCCTAAACTTTAACCAGCAGCCACTATTCTGAGAGAGAATAGACCACTGGCACATGCTAACTTTTAGGCTTTTAAAATAGCATCAACAGCCTTGGAAGTCATTGGATAGTATCTCTATGAATCATCATATTTCTCTTTCCTACTTTCCCTAAGTTTATTGCTCCCATCAAAAAGTTTTGTTCCTGATGTTTCTTTGTCATGGTAGAAGTCTTTTAAAGTGTCAAAGGTCTCGATTGCATATTTGTCTAATTCAGCAGGCAGTTGAATATTAATTCTTTGTTCTAGAAAAAGGTCATTCATTCTTAATATCTGACACACTTACTTTGTCCCTATTCTGCACAGCAGCCAGCAGAAGGATGCCTCACTACCTTTGAAAAGTGTTTCAGCAATATGCTCCAACTCCAACCATTTCCTCTTCACCCCCACAAATCAAATTCAACATTACACTCAGTTCTTTATGTTGCTCACACAATTAAATCATATTTTTAAATGATCATTCTTTGATTATCAAAAATTCTAGTGAACTACGTAATTTTTAAAAAAAATTTATGCACAAAACTACCTCCCGGAGAATAGGCTAAGTCCCTTTTAAGGATTTTAGGCCTCCATCTTGAGATGTTTTGCTTTATCCAAGAAAGAAACAAATATCTAGAGGTAGAGCAATTCACTTTTTCTGTAAAACCTGTTTTGAAAACAAAACAAAACACATGGTTATAAAATCAAATAACTTACCAGTACAACGCAATAACGTCTTTGTTTGTTTGTTTGGGGACATTCTCTCCACACTAGAGACACTCACCCCTCACATTGATTGATTCTCTACAGTGTATATAAGGTACAGTGCTTATAAATACGGTACGGTGGCTTAGTGGTTACATATTGGGCTTCTAACCCCGAGGTCAGCAGTTTGAAACCACCAGCCATTCTGTGGGAAACAGATGAGGCTTCCACTCCCGTATAGAGTTGCCATCTCAGAAACGCACAGGGGCAGTCCGACCCTGCCCTGTAGGGTTACGGTGAATGAGGAAGGACTCAGGGCAGTGAGTTTGGCTGGGGTTAGTGCTAAACTCTGTACACAACGAATAATCCTAGATAAAGAGCAGTGATCACAAACTGGTGGCCAGTTAGAGGTATTACGTTTGGCTCACACAGAAGTGATCCACAGTAGTTTACTACTTTTATTAAAGCTTACTATTTTGAAATTATTGTAGATTTAGAGAAAATGTGCAAAATCTAATAGAGTTCCAAATACACAAACACAATAGCAATGATAACAATGACACAGAGCTCCCCCCCCTCCGCTTCTCTCACATCAACGTCGTATACAACCACAGTAAAACTCTAAGAACACTCGTTAGTAGTTTATACTGATATCGTGCTGTGAATTGCTCTGTGCTCCTCATTGGAATTTCACCCGCTGTCCAAATAACAGCGTTTTACTTTCTTCTTGGGCAACAATAGTTTTAGATGGTTTCAATTACTTGTCGGCAATTTAAAAAGAGAGAGAGATTTCCCCACGAAATTCAGGATTTCAAGCTTCTCTTGAAAAATCAGAAACTCTGAAAATCCTGGGCTTAGCCTTCCCGTCTGGCAACAATCAGTTCGGCTTGCATGCTGTTGCAATCTTCAGACAGAGCAGGTGCTCTTAGTGACGCTGTTGAGTAAGCGCTGGATTACTAACCCCAACCCATCTAGCCACAGTTCACACCCACCAGCCACTCTGAGGGAGAAAGATGAGGCTGTCCGCCCCAGTAAAGGTTTTACCGCCTTGGGCAGCCTTTACAAGGCCATCATGAGTCAGAATGAACCTGATGGCAGTGGGCAGGTGAGTGGACACTAGCAGGTGCCATTACTCACTGCGTTTTTGTATCAGTAGAGTTGGTGGGCAAGGAAGTCTATGAGCAGCAGCAGAAACGAGGGACACACAAAAAGGGACACCTGTTTTAAGGGAGTACAAAGGAGAATCCCGTTTCTTTGTGGACATGGAGACTATGCCTACATGTTGAATAAATTTATAAAGAAAGTATGCCTTCCAAAAAAAAGAAAATATGCCTTCCTTTAACAGGGGTCCTCCACCTCCCTCCTGCCGCAAGCCTTTCATACAGGTCCTCATGTGCTGGTGACCCCCCAACCATCACATTATTTTCATTGCTACTTCATCACTGTCATTTTGCTACTGTTATGAATCGGGCGATCCCTGTGAAAGAGTCGTTCAACCCCCAAAGGGGTCACGACCCACAGGTTGAGAACCGCTGGTTTAAAAGAACCACCTACAGGTGTCCTGGACTCTATATGCATTTAAGTTTACAAACCCCCTACATAGATGTCACCCTAAAGAGACTTGTGGAAACAAGATGTGGGAGGGGGTTTCCAAAGTTCAATGAAAAATTCCATTATATTTTCATTCCATTTTTCCTTTTTTTTTTTTTT